CAGACCCGGCCGGCAGCGCCGCCGCGCCGCCGCGCGAGCAGTCTGTCGGTACCGACCGGAGCTCGGCCTCTTCGTCATCCCGTCGGGCGTCGCCGTTTCCCCTGTCGCGCAGCAGCTCCGACACACAAACGCCGCGCGTACTGGGCATCGAGAACTTCTGGCTCTTCAATCCGAAGACGGAGGAGGTGGCGCTGGCGCGCCTGTGCCCGGCCGTGCGCCGACTCCGGCTCGACTTTGTCTTCCAGGACATCGGCCAAACACCGGACCTGGGTGGGCTGTCGCAGTTCCAGCACGTGACGCACCTCGAGATCAACAGTTTCGACGCTCCGCGCTTCTCGGTCGTGTCGGAGGTGCTGCGCCACCTGGGTGGTCGGCTGACGGAGCTGGCGCTGCACGTGTGCGACGACTACACGGCCACGGCCGTGCTCGAGAACGCCGGTGGCGCGCTGGTGTCCCGGTTCTCGAGCGGTACGCCCTTCACCGGCGACTACTCGGTGCGCCTGCCGGCCGAGCGCGGCGACGACGAGCTGGACTTCGGCCGGCTGCGGCGGCGGCAACCCGCGCCTGCGCGAACTGCGGCTCGGCCGGCTTCGTGACCGGCCCGCCGCCTGCTCTTCCTGCTGGCGCAGGCGGCCGAGCTGCGCGTGCTGCGTCTCGATGGTGAGCTGCGCCACCTGGACGACGCCGGCTTTCGTGAGCTGCTCGCTGTGAACGCGCTGCCGCGCCTCGAGGAGTTCTGGGTGAACGTTTCATCCGGCCTGACGCTGGAGGCCGTGCTGCCGCTGTTGTTCGACCCGACATGTTGCTTGCGGCGGCTGGGTCGGCTCAGCAGCCTGCAGGGCCTCGATCGGCAGAGGTTCCTCGAGCTGCGCAGCCAGGCGCGCGCGCTCAACCTCGATGTGGACCTGGTGTGGGTCACGCCGGGTGTGTGAGTTGTGTGGCCCGGGGCGCGCGGCTCCAGCTGGGGCGGGGCGAGCGCGCGGCTCCAGCTGGGGCGGGGCGAGCGCGCGATTGCAGCTGGGGCGGGGCGAGCGCGCAGCTCCAGCTGGGGCGGGGCGCGCGGCTCGCTCCAGCTGGAGCGCAGCCGGCGCTGAGGACAGAGGCCCGCGGCCGCTGGCGCGTGACCTTCCCTCCACCGGCAGGTGTTGATGATGAGGTCGGGACTTTGCTTGCGCCGCGCCTCAGCTGTGTTGGTGCAGACTGTGCCGGGGCTTCTATATTGGCCTCGGAACAGGAGCCGCGGGGTGATGTGGGCGGCTGCCGCGGAGGTCAATTCGGTTAGCACGAGTCACGCTCTTGAAGCTTGTAGCGAGTCAGGGTGCGGGAACGCGATTGGGCGGGACGCAGGCGACCGCCTGGATTGTTGATCACTCAAAGCGGCATCGCTAGTTTGTGCCGTCTTTCAAGTTTGGAACATATTTTACCTCACTGACTGTTGCATCTGTTGCATGTTAGTTTTTTTTTAGAAACCTTCTCAGCGATCGACCCAAAGCGACCACGAGACGCTAGGCCGTCATGTGGACTCACATTAGGTTAAGCCAGCGTGTGGAGTGAATAACCGCCTGTGATGATTTCGCCCCGCTTAGCGGTTACTGATCGATGGTTGTGACGGCAGACGTGCCTTAGATGTTTTCTGCAGCATATGTCTAGTCCTCTGTCGCGCGCTGGGCATGGTTACCGTAACAGTCTTCCGGTATAACTTACGACATACATCAGAGCAACTTTTGACTGAGGGGTGTCGATGCAATGGTTTTGAGTGGTATCGCCCCCATCGCTATTGTTTACCGGCGTTCAGGACTCGAATCGCGGCAGCTGTTTGCCGATGCATCTGTTGTTAATTTAATATATCTCCATCTTGCGCAGTTGTTACATTAAATCGGAGGTCATCATTTTGTGGGCTGTAAAATCGTGTTCTTGTGGAACCGAGCATAATTGTTCTTGGTCAAATAAAATCAGCACAGTGCCATATGCATGTGTATTTGGGGAGGACGATTGGGCATAGCGAGCGCATTAAAAAACAGTGAAAGAGCCCCATCCCACGTGTCAACAACGCACTTCCTCAGCAATATCTTCAGATACGGTCCAGCGACTTGACAAAACACAAAGGCGGTGAAACCACACCAAAAGATACCCTGATAAATATTGTACAATAACAACGATCCGGCGTACCAACACCAGCAAATAGCTTGACTGAGCCGAGTATTAAGTGTCGCCCAAAGAGCGGTGTGCATCATAAATGTTGGATTGGGCGTGACGCCCGCCAGAGCAGGGTAAGGTCGCTGACCCAGAAGAAGAAGAAGGCGGAAGACTGCGCACAGCTACCGTGTCAGACGCTACTTCCGCCACCCGGACGGCGAGGGGTCGCCAAGCCGCGCGCCTCTTGTACGCCTGACTTTCGTGCCGTACGTGGACTTGACATGTGCGTCATCAGATGGGGAGCACATGTGGCCTTCTTCCAGGTGAGTGCCCCAGAAAGAGAGAGACAAGAGCCTGAGGAAAAGGCGGACAGCGCCTGCGCCTGCGCTTTGCCGCGGGTCACCCGGTCACTCCCGCAGCGGGGATCGCAGAACGGATCCGATCCCGCGGTTCCTCGACCACTCCAACAGGTGCCCCTCGCGGCCTCGCTGCGGTATCCGCTCGGTCACTGCAGCAGAGGGCGCCCCACTCCGCCGCCGCCGGCGCCTGCTCCACCGCCGTCGGCGCCCGTCCGCCGCCGCCGGCGCCTCACTCGGCTGCCTCTAGCAGGCGCGGCCCGTCGCCAACCGTCGTGTGGATGACGCTCTGCACGCCGCCGGGGAAGAGCTGCTCCCACACTTCGCCCTCGGGCAGCGGCGGCAGCTGCACCGGCCGGCCGGTCACCCAGTCGGCCAGCACCGGCGGCGGACACACGGCCGACACCACGGCTAGGAACGGCGCCACCTCCGCCTCCGGCAGGTACACGCACGCGTTAGGGCCGGCGTCGAACGTGTAGCAGGCGCGCACGCCACCGCGGCGCGCGTTGTACTCGTGCACCGTGTCGACAAGCGCGTGCGACACGTCGTTCATGTAGCGCACCGGCGGGTACGTGTCCTGGCACACGGCGTGCAGCTGGTTACTGTCGCGCATGGTGAGCTCGGCGAAGGCGGCGAAGTCGCGCCGTAGGATGGCGTCCGTGATGGCGGCCAGGCGCGCTGGCACGCTGTGCTCGAGTCGCGCGCGCATCAGATCGGACGTCTGCACCGTGCGCTGCATGCCTGACGTGCTGGCCACCTTCTTGCGGTCATGGCTGACGACCAGGATGAGGCAGCGTAGGTCGGGCCAGTGGGCGGCCGGCGCCACCTGCACAGCTCGCGAGTCGGCGCCTCGGCTCGGTGCCGGCCACCCAGCGCACGAAGCCGCCCAGCACGCTGCGGCACGCCGAGCCCGAGCCCTGCGCGCGACGG